ATACGTGGTGACTGTAGAAGAGTAATCGAAGACAGAACAAAGAAAAATTTGATTTCCGCCCATTAGTTTGTTGGTTTGTTGTCTTAGTAATTTATGCACTTAAAAAATTGTTTCAGCTAAACCTAACCAAGAATGTTTGATAATTAAAGTTTATTACCGGGAAAGTTAATGTCCGGGTAGTCGCCTACATTATGTACGTGGCAGGTCTGTTTTATTCACGGTCCTACTGGTTATACAAGAAGATAGGAACCACTGTAAATCCCATGACGTTAAATAAAAACACAGAAGCTGTCATAAATAAAGAAGTATTGGCTCTCCAAAAAACATGTATCTCAAACATGTAGTCCAGTACTGTCATCATTAAAGCAGATATGCCCATTTATTTACTTATTTTGCACATACGATGATTAATTATTAAACATTAGACAAATAAGAAGATACACACACTATTTTCACACAGAAGAAGATAAAGAATGTAATTTTACACAGAACGAAAGTTCACATCTGTCATACTGAACGAAATTTACAACGAACTATTACAAACATATTGACCTGAATTGATATTACACTGAAATTTATAGAACCAGTATTGTGCTGACTAAAGTGTTATGCTAATAATAAAACTAATGTCGAAATATAACATGAGGGATATAAGTAATATCATAAATTGTCAAACTGTCTTAACGAAAACGTAAACTCGCCTTTCTATTCCTACTTATCAAGAAATTGCAGATCTAGATTTTCTCATTTAGTACATATGTCCAAAATATAATCAATTTTCTTAGTATGGGAATTTGTAGAGATTATAGTATTTTGAAAGTCAAATTCATGTGTCTATCTAAGCTGGATCATCAGTGAGAACCTGGAAGCACTTGATTGCCGTTTCATTCTAGTATGAGACTTCTCAATAGTGCGCATCCATGATCCTATATATGGGACCGGAACCCAAGACGTTCGATCTCGCGTGCGAACGCTTAACCTCTAAACCATAGAGCCAACATCCCCTGGATTTTGTTATTGTCCAAATATCTCAAAAATCATCTTATATGACGACTGAGATAGTCTATAAATCTTTAACATGGAAAGTTGATATAATAGGAATCTAAATTATTATTCATTAATTAAATGAATTGATTTTTATGTTTACTTATAGTTATTCACACAAATTACATAAATAAATAAATTTTATTGATAATTCGGTTACAAGAATGGATTTAGTAAAGTTAAGGATAATAAGCAAAGATACAGGATGCGCGTTTCATCCCATTCGGAACTTGTCAGTTGGATGTACCTGTATCTCAAAATTGATGTTCACCCTTGGACTCGAACACAGTACCTTTCACTTCAAACGCCATCGCGTTATCCACTCAGCTAATGAGTCCTAATAGCCACTTGCTTATGCAATGGTGTAGTTTATATTCACTTGGTATTGTTTGTTTGAATTAGGGCTATATCGAAGCAATACGCACAGTATGTACATATACCAATTAGAGACCGATCAATTGCAGTCCTAAACGTCAATGGGAAGATTCAAACAAACTATACCAAGTGAATTAAAGTTTAGGATAGTTCATAAAAAATAATATCTTTGTAATAATTATAAATTTACTATGCAAACTGATAGTTTCCTTTGTAATATAAGAATTTAGATCTCTTCAAAATGCCAGCATCTGAGTAATCAGAATAGAACCAACTTGCTGGTTTGGAATATATAATATAAAAAAAAAATTTAAAACTATCATAGAAATCTCTTAAGAAAATGGCATGTAGAAACTATGTATGAAACTCATCCCGTAAACCTTTATTGAGGATAATATACGGGGCAAAATGATTTAGCTAATAACAATGAAAGGGAAATACTAAAACGTGTCAAAGAAATATGACTAACTATTGTCCTTTAAGGAGAATCTATACTTAAATAGATAAATCTGTTAAATGATATGAAACTTATGCCGATCTTATTCTTTAAACGTCGATATTGAAGTGAGTATATAGTCAGAACTTTATTCATATAGATTACCCAAGAATTATGACTATTATTTAGTATAGTTTAAATGGTTATCTCCAATCATTATATACTGATCTAATGAAACATTAATGTCTTATTTGTACATCATAAATTATTCATAGAAGATAATAATGTTAACTAAACTAATCACAGAGTTGATTTTTTTTCTTAAGATGAATATATCCGATCATTTTTCAAAGCTTTACTGTTGTATGATTTATTTTTGTATCGGTCAATACAAAATCAGTGATAAATAGGTAATTCACAATTAGAGAAATGAAACAGCTTAGATAATAAAACATTAACTTATAGAGAAACTGATAGTTTACTTTGTGTTAATATGACTTAATAGATATGATTAGTATACAAAGTTTATCAATGAAAATTGAAATTGGATACTTTGTTAAGTTACTTTAAACAATAATTATGTTGTTAATACGATGAACTCATCAAGTTGAATTTTTATTAGAATATACATGATCATACATGATCCATATCTAAGTAAAACTTATGTTCGAGTTCTAATATCTTATTTCAGAAAAGTGACAAATGACTTTAACACAAAGGTTGGTATATTTTACTAAAACGTGTAGCTAACGAAAGACAATTAAGGAATGTGTTTTCACTATCAGATTTTAAAAATATGAAGATATATTGTCGTACCGTAGGAAGGTCTCAAAGTTACGTTTTGGATAAAGTGATATGATGGCAATGACATTTAATTGACAAGAGTGATCTTACGAGTGTTTTAGTATTCTAACTTTAAAGTCCAAAAAATTTATCAGTGATCATTTAGCGTCTACTTTGCTTAGCTACTTCTTACTTGATTAAATAGTCGATTGATAGTCTGTGTTCTATATTTATTGACAGAACTTGGTAACGAAGACGTTGGTGGAGTAATTGTTCCTTTGTGAAAATTTGCCTTTTGGCGAAACATTAAGAAGTGTATCATATTTATGTGAGTATTGAGATGATGCTAAATATTTCTATTTAAGAAGATTGATTTTATTTCAGTTTCATATTCTGAGCTTAAAGAACGAAACTTCATCAAAAATGGTAAGGCTAATACATATGGAATTCTTGTCAATTCTGAACTACTATGAAATAGTGTACCGATTCTTTAATAATATCAGTTTAGTCCTCTAAATTAACTTTTACATTAAGGTAGGTGTAAAAACAAAATGTGTAATTTCGGAAAATTTTACATTTTTGCTAGTTTTAGCATTCAAACTCATTTAAAAACGAAGTTTTCTTTTTTAGTTGCTTTAAGGATAAAAATGTCAATTTTTGATGACATGAATATGATTTATAGTTCAGTCTCATTAATTAACGAAGTGGTAATGAATTTTTTCTTCTTTTTTTTCTTTTGTTAGGCTAATCTTCAAACATCTATCATCCTAGATTTTTCCATACAATCAATCTGTAATAGAATATTGTCAATCATAATGTGTGATAATTTTGAAATATTTATAACCTTAATTCTCTTTCTTTTTTTACTAGAAAACATGTTTTCACAGTAGGTGATTTAGACAATAACAACATTCTGTTAGACTAGAATTTATAACAATCTAATATAAGGTCAAATATAAGATAAACGTTTAGGAAATTAAATGTTCACAATGTATCGAAGATGATGTTTCACATTGATATTGTTCTTTTTTTTTCTTTCTGAATATCTTTTTTTTTCAAAGTGACTTCAATGATACATTTCAATGATTTCAAGTCGTTAGTATAAGGTTCAGTAAGATTACTAAACTATCAATGAATATCAATGAATTTTGAATTTTGACTTGTGGGTGTTATTGTCAAGGTTGAACTTGATAGTTCCAAATAAATTGAGCATTGGATAGAAAGTTATTAATAAGTGTGTATTTTTTGTTATATCTCATTAAGTAGAAAAGTTGTATTTTTGGTGTTTCATGACTTAATGTAAGCCACTTCTTCAGTGTAAATAATAACCGAATTGAATCAACATAAGCTTAAATACTACAAGGAAAACAATGAAGAGTATTTTTAGTACAATCAAAACCATAATAGGTGTGAATATGTCAATGTCAAGTTATTCTAGATTAAGGTGAATTAGTATGATCTGTTTTCATTGTATTAATTTATGTGTCAAAATGTGGATATGAAACATGTGTACAAAATTTGACATGGACTTATTTAAGCCTACAATGGTTTTGATTGCACTAAATATATTCTACATTGTTTTCTTTGTACTATATAAACTTGTCTTAATTGAATATCGGTTATTTGTTTACTGCGAAGAAGTGGCTTACATTAAGTTACGAAACGTCTGAAATACAACGTTTCTTCTCATTAGAATCTAATAAAAAAAACATAGTTAATAATAACTTCTTTACAATTTGATAAAATATTACAAATCGACATTTCTGATTGTAGTAATGAAACTATATTATTCTAGATATTTTTGGACAATTAATACATATTTAACTGAATGAATTTAAACGTGTACAAATACACATTGAAATCAAATGTAATATTTTAAAATATTTTACTTTAAATCATCGTATTTCACAAGGTGGGTTACTTGAATATCTGGTCTAACTGTTCCTGCCATCTGGATATTTCAATAAGTTATCTGTTTTCTTGATTATGCCTATTAGTCTCATAACTTAGTCAGGTGCGTTTGTGAAAAGTTGAAAAGTTTCCGCTTTACAAGTTACGAAAGAGCCCAATCAGAGACATAGTGATTGCTGGAAATATGCATCGAAAAGAATATACATTATTCAAATATTGATTCCTGATATCTATTTGGCGACCACTCAATATTTATCGTCAGGATCGATCAAGAAATAAGAAAAGGAAACTTGTTGAAGTACATTGTTCTGAGAATTTTATATTGTATCCAAAAATATAATGTTAAGTAAAACCCCTAACAATAATAAGTATACCATATCGATATAGAATTAAATAATGGATTTATTTATAAAATAATTAAAGTAGAAAATACAAAACAAGTAGAACTTACTTTGCCGATGATACTGCCGACTTCCTAGAATTAAAACAAAAAATAAACGAAAACAAATGAACAACACGCAATAAATTATTTAGTTTACAAATTTCTAGAATTTTACATTGACATATTTTGATAATTCAAACTCTAGAATTTTAACATCTAAACTTCATTGGAGATGGAATTTTCAGCATGAATAAACAAATTTGGTTTAACATTTAGTATTTTTCCAAGTATTCACTGTATCAAATTAAGGCAGTGTATTTTGTAAGAATGTTTTATGTCGCTGTTAATTATTATACGTTAGATGGGAAAGGATTCATACAGGGAAGTACTTGGAAATATATATAACATGTTGGTAACTATGTATATTGTTCTGATAACCAGTGACATCTATCTCCAGGGTTTATAGTAGATGAATCTATCATATTCAAATCATATTCATTTATATCATAAAAATAATTCTAGTAAGAATTTAATAAACCTTATTGTTGTATAATTGATCAATAATGTGGATTTCTATATCAAGTTCAGTTTTTACGTGAATAAACGCTTCAGAATCGTTTTCATTGACTCTAATTACCATGGAAATATTTAAACATTAACATAGAATTTCAAATGAGTAACAAAAATGAAATCGTTTTTGTTTGCTTAAGAAAAAGTCATAACTTCTCTGAGACAGAATAAACCTGATTACATTTAACTATTAGGGCAATAAGTTTCGATTAAGTTAATTAAAAGTTACTTGTCTTTAGTGCTTTTCTTCTGGATGGTATGTATGAAGGAATTATGTTGCTTTGATTTTGGCTAAACATTATTTAGATTAATAAATAAATTTCACGATTGAAGTGGAAGACAAACAAAGTATTAACTTCCTTGATGTTGGAATGACGAGAAAACACGAGAGAACTCCACGAAAATCCATCTACAGGAAACCCTTGCAGAAGAATCAGCTAGCAAGTTTTCACATTTGCGTTTTCATACACAGAAAACAAAACTGAATTTTATTTCTCGCTACACGGATACGAAGAATTTGCAGTCTCGAGGTCATAAATAACGAACTGTACCTCCTTAAGAAAATACTTATCCAGAACGATTATCCATCGATAAAAAAGGGGTGGAAATGGGTGAATAAGAAGTTCATTGATCTAACACTTTGTGAACACATTCGTTCAGTCAAGTCGGCTTCTGCATTCAAAGTCATCTTAAAGGCAGATAGAAAACTGCTAAGGTCAATTATATACCGGCATTGCTGAAGTACCAGTTATAAATCTGGAAAAACCAGGATTATTTTTCTGAAAGAAACTGGTACAACCATTTCTTTTATCGTGCTTCTACTCTCTGGTAATTTTATTTCTTTGTACCTTTCTTCCTTCACAGCCATCTGTTTACCTTCTATCTTCACTATAGTTCTTCTACCTCGAACTGTTTTTTCGTTTCTATGATCTTCCTGATTACAGTTTACCTTTATTTCAATATTTTATAATACTGAGCCTTCCTTTCCTAATTATAATTTCCCTATCTATCGTCATGGTGAATGTTCAAGCTCTCAGCAACAAAACTACTACTAACAGTTTGCCTCATAAAACTAACGTTTTAATGTTTTTGTTTATTCTACCTCACCGTAACTAAATTTGACAGAATTTCACTATCAATATTATTAGGATAACCGTTTCAAAAAATAAGTACGTGTTTTTGCGATTACACAAGTTTGGAAACGAATTCACCGAAAAGTGAACTCTTCGTTGAACCAATCTTTTTTATTTTATTTAGATTAGATATTGTTTAAATAATTCAAGTTATGGATGATTGATTTCATTAGATAACATGTCACTTATCTGTAGAAATACTGAAAATTTTCTACACTTTAACTAATCGAAATACTTATTCTTAAGAATAAAGTATATTACACTATTGTGACTATGTTTATTGATATGACTGAAAATTCAAATGATTAATGTTTACTTAGATAATAGTTATTATAATTTTGGTGTGGGTTGCTTACATTCACATAAGTAGAATATGACGATGGTCGGGCAGAGAATGTATTTTACTAGAAGATCGATAAGGAATGAACGGAAACGAAACGCGATTGGTATGAGAAGGCATGAACAATAATAATTGGAGGATATGGACTGATATTTGCAGAACGAATGGTCAAGATTTAGACAATTGTTTGATAGTTTGCAAATTAATTGTTTGCTGTATGGTAGTCAGATTTTAGTCCATAGTTCTCGTGTCAAATAGATTCGATTATCCCTACCTGTCTTCTTGGTCACTACATAACTAACTTCTAATTTAAATATATTTTGATCAAAAAAGAATTACATCATGGTTCGTCTGATGACCAGATATATAAAAAGGTCTCTTTATATTTTGAGTGTTTACTAAAGTTGGTACAAAATTATATTACTGATATTTTAAATGGATATTTTATAGGTATTTCATTCAATTGTTTAAAGATCCCCATCATAAATAACGAACTGTACCTCCTTAAGAAAATACTTATCCAGAACGATTATCCATCGATAAAAAGGGGTGGAAATGGGTGAATAAGAAGTTCATTGATCGAACACCTTGTGAACGTATTCGTTCTATTTGACAAAATCAATTTCCATCTTCATTTATATAACAGTTTAAAGTCCATCTACTTTTATGAAATTGTTTATCATGTAGCCAAACCCTAATCATTTTTTTTAGTGATTTGAATTTAACTTTACTGTCATTTTGCATTAAAAAGAATAGAGTCGGATATAATCTAATAGTTGACTATACTATTTGCCTGAAGTCACAAGCTTTATAAGCAAAGATGGATAGTGGCTAGAAGTGGAATCCACGACGCACTTTTCATCCTATTTGGAACTTGTCAGCTGGATGTACCCGCATCTCAGAGTTGAAGTTCACTCTGGGGCTCGAACCCAGTATCTTTCGATTCAAACGCCATCGCATTATCCACTCAGCTACTGAGTCATAATAGCCACTTGCTTGTGCAATGAGGTGAAGTTTAAATTCGCTAGCCACTAGCCACTAAATAAGCTAGCCACTATCCATCTTTGCTTATAATGCTTGTGAATTAAGGCCATATCAAGGCAATACGCACAGTATTCACATATGTCAATTAGAGACTTATTAGTTGCAGTCCTAAACATCAATGGGAAGATTCAAACAAACAATACTAAATGAAAGGAAATTGAAATACGTATAATTAATCTTATATGGAATAAAGTGGTCTTATAGTTGGAGAAGTTTTTATTATTTTTGTAAATTATTGAGTCTAAATATTGATTTATTTAAGTTTACATTTGAGACAATAAATTATTTGTTACGGTAAATGTTATACTTTCAAACCTTAGTGAGGTTTTCATAGTCAGCTGATATAGTTTTGTTTATAAAGCTTATTATATTAGTTGCTAAGCTAAAGATGTGTAAGATATACATTTAAATTCTTATGTTGGTTTGTTCTCTGAGCTGGATGGTTTGGTCGTGGAGCTTTCATCGTCCTTCTGAACGACATCATCAGCAATTCTGTTAAAATTATTATATATTGTTAGATCATGCATTATATTGTTTTTATCTTTGGTGAGTGTGCAAACGAACAATGTATCCCTCTCGAATCCAAAGGTCATGTAATAAGTCAATGGAAATCCTGAGACAATTATCATCCAATTGATTTAAGTTAGAAATGATAAGAGTAATTTGCTGCACAGGCAAAGTCCTTTAACATTATTGTTTTCTTTCATCTAAATTATTCGAATTCGGATGTATTTCTGGACTGCCACAGCAACGACTACTTTCATTAGAATTGGGCTTTTCGAAAGCTATACAGCAATTGTTAAATGTATGTTTTAACAATCTTATTTTCAATTGTTTATCTTTAAATGTTCTGTATTTTTCATTCGGTTTAATTACTGGCCTGAATATGCAATAATCCTTGTCCGTGCACTTCTATCATTTGTAACTTGAAATTAACTGACATATTCAGTGAAGTGTGGAGATTTTGCAGCTTTATTTTGTTTAGTCATCAGTAATGGAATATTTATCAGCTGAATATAGATTCACATTAAACATGTGTGTTTATGTTAATCTCTGAGTCACTATTTTCAGTCCATTTAACTCGCCTCATTCAGCAAAGTGTTTACGAAGTTATCTGATTAATCATTTTAAGAGATAAAGGAAACATAACATATGTTTCAATGTTTAGTTACTATTTTCATTATCATTGTAAAATCCATATGACTCTTTCAAGAACTCACTTATTTAGTTATCTTTTCAAAATATCAGCAAACTATTCATAGGTTCACATTTAGATTCTTATTTTGTTCATTGTAAAGAATGTCACATAATAGTAGGTTATATATGTAATGTTACATGACATCATATAAGTCATATAATCAGAACGGGTTTTGTGGTGATTTTAATAATTTAATAGTTGAATTCATGAGTCAGTTGAAGATAGACTACTATGATAAACCTGGAATCACTGAATAGCCGTTTCATCATAGTATGGGACTCCTCAGCAGTGCGCATCCACTATTCTGCTCGTGGGATTCAAACCCAGGACATATCGGTCTCGGGCGCGAGCGTTTATTACTAAAATCATATCTTCCATTTATATACTGTTACATAATTAAAGCTGTCACTAGATATCAAATTTTCTTCATTTTGTAAATGCTGATAAAAACACTTATGACGTTTAAGCAAAAGCCTAAGTAAGGTACTTAAATTGGAAACCTCACTAAGATTACTTGTTTTTGAACCGTTATCATTAGAAAAAAAAGCAAATTGGGTACTCATTGAAGATATTTTAAATAACATTATTCATTTGCATTGGAAAGTTTTAACAAGTAAATAAAGAACAAATAGCCCAAGATTGACAATACATGTGTTTTCAGTATAGAACGACGTTTTCTAAGATGTCTAGCTATGTGACAAAGAACAGTTAGTCAATCTAACCTAGTAAACGTTCTTATTATGGTTAAACTTGAAAACTTCACATAAATAGGATATTCGATAGTCAGTTTATAACCATAGAATAATAAAACACTTACAATATCCTAATGAGTAGTGAACTAGATTTCCGACGTTTCGTGTAAGTAACTTATTTTCAATGCACTCTTGAAGTTTTGATTAGTAACTATACATAAGTATCAGGTTTTTATCATCATAGAAACTATTCCTTGATTTTTCGTGGTTGTAAGAATAAAAATGACTTTTTCAATACATCCTACCTTCTGTCTGTCTTCTGACCGTGAACTATCTCAGCTGCTTTGAATTTACTTCATAGAATGAAGAATATCCCGCTAGTTACTCAGTAGTTAATATTCTATTATATTAGTTGATGTGAGACGTATCTAACCACCCAACATCAGATCATTAGGTTAGGTTACTTTAATAAGCAGCTACAATTCAAATTAAATGACAGAACTAGGACTAGGCACACATGGTATTGTTCACTAATTCATGATCAAACAGTACAAAAGATAGCTGGAATTTAAGACTTTACAAACGAATTTCATATTAGAAAATAACTTATCACAAAGTATCTACATTGCTACCATTCATTTTCAAGAACCTTAACGAGATTTGATTCACTTTTACATTTTCTGTAGGTTAACAATCTGTTTTACTGAAATCGTAATATTTGGAATGAATCAGTACTAATAACTATGCTCTTCGGTATGGACGTAATTTCAAAAACAATTTCCTCACTAAATTCTTGCAAACAGTACTTGAAAAGATGAAGTTCAAAAATATCTGGAACTTAGAAGCACTAGAAACATTATCGATGACTTTTGTAACGACTCATAAACTACAGATTTTTACTTATATGAGGGAGTTGTATAGTTCTTGGTTCATTCTTTCGGTAGCTTTTTAGAGTTGAGTATACGGAGGTTTTACCGAGGAACGTAATGACAATAAGTTCCGATTCATTCAATGGCCGATAAACTCCAATTTTATAATATATGATATGTACATACAATATCCATAGTAGAATTACTCAGTAAAGCGATATGTTAAACATATGTGTCTTCCCCAAAGTGAGTAAAGTGGACTTTTTTGACGAGATAATATGACACAAACATCCTGTGATCGGTCAGTTGTGCCTTTCTGTATATAGCCATGGAAGTTACACATCCATACTAGAAACTTATTCAGTTGTGCAATGATAGCCAAAGAATTTTAATGTTTATCATAGAAACAACTGACTTGTCACTTTACTACAAATCATTCTGACCTTTATTACATGACCTTTTTAATTTACAAATAACACAATTTTGAAGTATATATGTTGTAACTGATGCAGTTGTTCACCATTTTTAACATATAACATCAAATTCATTATTTCATGCCTTATATTAGTCTTTGTGAAATATCACAATAATTATGGATTTGTAATTGTAGAGTCTGATGATGAAAACAAATGTTCACTTAAACGTTTCTAAGACATATCTAAGACATTATATTTAACAATACCTTCTTATTGTCAAACATACATAATACTATCTATTTCAAGTAATCATTAATATCAGAAGGGATCGTGGATGCTCACTGCTGAGGTGTCCCACGATAGGACTAAACGGTCATTCAGTGTTTTCAGGTTTTCCATGGTGGTTTAGCTTCAATTAACTCATGATCTCAATTATTAATATCACAAGCTTATCTTTAAATTGAATTAGCTGATCTATGGCAATAATGAATAAAATACAAAGATCATATTGTATTATTCACTTTTATTTATTAAAAAAAAACTTAATATTTATTGTTAATGATGGATCTAGTCAAGATAAAGGTGTTTCATTCTATTCAAGCTAATATGATTGTAACACGCAATTGAGAAATGACAGAATTGACTATTGAATTCAGATTCAAGTTTTAGAATTTCTATTTTATTTTAAATACAGATTTCTAAGTCTTTTATAATCATTTAAGAACTGATTTATTTTAAATGTTTATTATTATAATAGTAACTGATCTTTTAAATGGATTTAAATATTCATCTACTTATAAAACCGACTATTAGTTTGCTTGAATATTTCAATGGGAAATCGTAGAATAAAATGTTTTGACTATTGAGTTATAAAGTGTACCATGATGCATAAAATAGAAAGGTATTAATATAAACTCTACGGACTAGTTCAAGATATTCATATACATTGATATGATCAGTATTGTTGTTGATAGAGTAACCATCATCAATCGTTTGTGAACTTTTATGTTATAGTTTAAATGTCAGATTATAATAATTATTATTATTTCTTTTTGCTTATATGCGTGTCAAGTTTAAATGAGATTTCAGTTGCATCAGATCAGTAATTTGATTTTAGATAGCATCTATTTTATACCGTCATTCTTACTGTTCTCCCTTTTTCTCTTTACCGACCATTTTGTGCTGAAGTAAGCAGTGATAAGTTTGATCATGTAGAGCAATTAAAATTTTTTTTTAACATTTTACTGGAAAATAGTTATTAACAGTTATTAAGGCGTTTTAAAAATTTCTTAATGTAAAATATGATCAACACGTTAAGCATTTAAGGGATTTAAAGTGTGTCTGGAAAATAACTGATTGGAAATTTACACATGAAGGCACTGAAAATGTGGATTTATTCTCATCACCATTACTATCACAACCTAATCAGATAGTGGGATCGGTAAACATGGTATGTTAACGAATGACAAATTGAGTGAAACAACTATGTTTGTCAGTAATCTTTTAGATTTTGTTGATTTTTTAAGATAGTATTTTGGATTGATCTTAGTCAAACATTAATTAAAACTGTGGAGCGCTGAGTCCAAGTATAGAACTTTTCATCAGTATGTAGCAACCATACAAATATGAGTCAAAACCAGGACCTACATGTCTTAAACAATCACGCAATCACCTTCTGGTTAACACTTTTAACTTCAATAACTTTGTGATATAGCACAACCATTTTCAAACTAATTGATGCATAACTACCTCACGTGCCATAGTTGAACTTAACCGGTCAAGAGTTCTCATTAGAACTCCATGAAACACTTCTCAAAATTATTATTCGCTAGAGCGGGTTTGTAGGGATTGGTAAATTTGGATGCCGTGTCAGAGGTCTAGAAGTTTTCAATGGACATTTAACTAATATCAGTTTGTGATGTTATCAATAAAATAACTAATTTTTGTTAGAAATGTAACATATTATTCATTAAATGATTATCCCTCGCATTAAGTCTGCAAAAGAAAAGATCATTTAACTCTAGTTATGATCATTTAAAAAACAATCACTTTATTTTGTCAATCAAAATTTTAGGTAGGAAACTAACTGAAATATTAAAAGCAAAAGCGATAGATTTCTTCACTGAAGATAAAATCAGAGTTTCTTTACGATTTAAAACTACTTATTGTAAGTGAATTCATTTTGTATTGTTTGTTTGAATCTCCTAATTGATGTTTAGGGACTGCACTTTATCAATCTCTTATTGGCATACGTACATCCTGTTGCCTTAAGTCACAAGCATTTTAATCAAAAGTGGATATTGGCTAGCAGTGGAATTCATGACGTATGTTTCGTTCGATTTGGAACTCGACAGCTGGATGTACTTGCATCCTAGAGTTGATGTTCACTTCTAGATTCGAACCCAATACCATTCGTTTCAAACTCCATCGTGTCAAGTAAACATGAACTGAACAATATTTCATGTCTCACTTAGTTTATTCTCTATTTTATTATTATTTACAATGAACATAAACATGATTGAATAAATAAAAACCTACTTTTCCAGACATCAATAGTCGTAATACCAATAATGATGTATTCTGTGGAATATTTTCATTTTCACCATGTGTGTTTATTGTTGTGGTTGTTGATGTAGATGTAGATGACAATGATGATAATATAGTTGATTTATCAATTATTCCTTGAGATGATTCATCTAATAGAGAATTAGATTTTTCAACTCCTATCATCTCTAATCTTTTACCTAATTCATTTTTATCATTATAATTATTATTATTCATTGTAATATGATTTGCATTTATCGTTGAAAGTAATGGGTTCTGTGCAGTTATATGATTGTGATTATGATTATTGTTACTACTTATATGATTATTAGAGGTATATAACTTATCACATGATATATGTGTTGCTTGTAATGGTAAATTTATTGATGTAGGATATGTATGGTATGCATTCAATATTGAATTAACATCATTTGGTTGTACATAACAAAATGATTCTGGATTATGTGGATAATTAACATTTGTATAATATCCATTAGTAAGAGTTATTGGTGGACAATAAGGATTTTGTCCATTTGGTTGTTGTGCTGTAAGCATTAAACCTGTTGAAATATTTGATGGATTTCCAGGTCCTAATGGATTTGGATGTGGTAATAAAGCTGTATGAAAAGTGGAATAGGGTATCATATCGAAATTATTTGGTATGATATCACCTGACATTCCGACTTTATAAGAAGTTACAACACTTGTTAGTGCCATTCAAATAGAATGGCCTAAATAAGTCAATAGTTGGTTATGAATTGATTGAATGTCTCTATATAAAAAATATATATAGAAAGAAAGGTTTATCAAGCATATTGACTTCTCATGAAACTCGAGTAAATAAAGTTTACTTAGTTAAACAGAATTAAAATAAAAACTTTAATGGAAAACACTTTTATCATTATAAGATGTATAAATTAGTTCTACATTCAAAACTTTACTCGCTATATCATTTTTATCTAGAAGTGAGTTTTTCACATCACTCATTTTATAGTTGAAATCATGAGTCAATTGAAGCTAGACCATCATGGAAAACCTGGAAGCAGTGGAATGTCGTTTCGTCCTGTTGTGGGCCAGCTCAGTAGTTTAGAGGTTAAGTGTTCGCGCGCGACACTAGTAGGTTCTGGGTTTGAATCTCGAGAGGCGGGATCATGGGTGTGCACTGCTATTTAGCCCCACAATACAATGAAACGGCCTCATTCACAAAACACATAGTTATTAATAATTCTCAATAATTGTAAGACATAGAAGCATAAATTGAATTTTATCATTTGCTAAGGATGTACATTTTCTTCTTAGAATCATCAGACATGTTCTAAAAGTATTACTCACCTTATAAATATTCAGCTGGCCAGTAATGACGGTTAAAATATTTATTATCTTATGAAGAATCAATTCAATTGACTAAGTGATTCGATTAATTTTTTTGCAGAAAATAATTAATCAGTAATTCATTTAATACGCTTTGACAGCCTGTCTGAATCTGATGCTCATCACCATCTTATTGTATTTACTTCATGTGTTATGACAGTCAGTTTAATTAGTCAAAGAAAATTATATTCATTTAGTTCTTATATTTTGTAATTGGATCACATCAATAGGTTATTTAGTTATGTTTTGATTATAATCAGAGAGGGATTTTGTGGATACTACAGTAATTGAATAATTGAATTCATGAGTAAATTGAAGTTAAACCACCATCGAAACCCTGGAAGCACTGGAAGGCCATTTCGTCCTAGTAGAAGCCACACATTAACACCGTTAGATGCCGACCAGCTCAGCGGTCTATAAGTCGCGGGTTCAAGCGCGAGACAGATAGGTCCTGGGTTCGAATCTTGCGAGGCGGGATCATGGATGCGCATTAATGAGGAGTCCCATACTAGAATGAAATAGCTGTCCAGTGCTTCTAGGTTTTCCATGGTGACCTAGCCTCAATCAACTCATGAATTCAGCTATCCTGTGATCGTCAAAACATTTATAAAAGTTGAAAAATAATTCTCAAATCCCATCCTACTGATATGAATATCATTCAAGTAATATTTATGGAAAAAACAAACCGACCATATTGCTTTAAAATAAACGAACGGAACGTTTATACCTTTCTATATTACGAATACTTAATGTTATCAGAAGTAAAATACAACTATCCATGTTTACTGTAGAGTAAAATGAAGCAAACAATGATTTTTATTTGTTAAACAAATGAGTCTTCATTCGATTTCAGTTATGATGCAAACTGAGAACAAAAAAATCGGAGAGAATATCTTTTTATGGAAAATGAATGTTCATTAAGGGATCAAAGGACATTTTTTAAAACCTAACTTAATGTATCTAATCCTAGATTACCAAATTTCTAGGTGAATTGATCGAAGATAATTATTTTCCATTTTACAATAGAATAAATATACAATAGGGATAGATATATGAAATATAAACATACTTCTAAAATTTAAACTACAGATATCTAAAAATTAATTAGCGTTGAATAATGCACTAAATCTTTATAGTATCAATATTCAATAGATAATTTTAACTTATCGTTTAGAACTTAGATGACTGCATGATCTATCATTCTCTTCGGTGATGTGTAAACCTACTTCATTTCAAATTATTTAAGTTAAATTATCATGTTTGTACAATACTCAAAACTAAGTCATCAGCTGACCTCTTTATATGAACAAATAATAGATTAAGCTTCAACAGTTTAATAATGAAAATGAGTCAAAATTAACTTTTAGCCAATAGATGATAAATTATACCTATTACTGGAACGATGCCCCCAAATGCCAAGGGTGGGGAGAGTCCGTTCTCCATCTCGAAATACTCTCACATGACCACATACATACAACCACTGCCAGGGAAGTACTACTCACTGCCTTCTCGTGGCGTTACTGTTGTTTACGAAATTGAGAAGACGAAAAGCGAATGTCTGGCGCTTTAACCGGATTAGCGGACATGGAAAGTCCACCTAGGGGAGTTGGGAAAACCCTGATTTCAAAGCAATGGTGCACATAGGCTTCAAGGTCCTTAGAAAACTAATGGCGTATGAATCAATTATTGGTCACCGGCCACCATGAGACTGCATCTCCTGATGTTGCTCCACTGCCTTGAGGATCAAACCTATAGATTGAAGGCTCCTGAGTGTGGCCCCCTAAGAAAACTACCTGCTTTGGTCTGGGTACCCAAGTAGTATCACAACCCACATACAAATCAAGTGAATTGTGTGGCACATATCTATTCTGTGTCCCTTTGTACCAATATTTATATGTTCAAATAACAATAAGAAGGAGAATAAAAGAACTAGTACATTTTGTTTATTTGAAAAACTAATCAAAATTTTGTAATTCTGTCAACGTTTTAATCTATGCTTCATTTTCAAAAACACAATTGATAGTTATTTCTAAAAACTCTTAGGGTTTCTTTTCATTATCTAATTTGTATTTTTCTCTTACAAGAAGTGGATGTCTTATGAATTCATCAGATTTTATGTCTAGAATTCACTCATTCTTCACTTGACTGAATTCAATTAATGTTATTAAAACAGAGTATATATACATATATACAGAGAGAGAGATAGAAGGATAAAGGATGTTTATATATTTCACTTAATAATAGACTTTCTTTTCATTTAAATATAAGCAACAATATATATATATATATTCATACAATTTGTATTACCAATATGGAATAGAGCTTTAATGAATCCAAAATAATCTATAACTAATTAACCAACTACGGTTCTCATTATTGAATTAATTAAAGTAATCAAACAAATAAGAACTTTGATTATATATATAACTTAAAAACTAAAAAAACAATCAATAATTATTCACTAAGCGGGAAAATTGCGGTAAATTATCCCACAGGTAGGAAGTAACTTACCTTATACTATTCCTTATTATATAATTGATGAAATATTTTTTTTAGTGTTTATTGAATTTACTCAAATGATTTAATTGTTAGAATGAGATTCACAATCTCATAAATTTAATATTTAAATGAAATATCAAAATAAACTTTATTTAAAGTCATTAGAATAATAGTAGTATCTCTATTATTATTACTATTCATGGACTATGAACTCAACTGATGTACAACAACGACAACAACAACAAAATATGTATGAACATAATGAAATGAATCAAGTGTTGTTATATACTTTTTTTTAAATAGTTTTATCATCTGACTGAATTTATTCCACAAAAAAATAAGTGAGCAACCTTTGAACAAATAAGTAAATATAGATATTTTGTTTCTATATTGTAGAAACAAAAAAAATAAAAAACAATAATAATAATTGAAAATATAAGAATCAATGTTATAAACATCAACTCGGAGATGTAGGTACATCCAGCTGATGAGTCCCAAATAGGACGTAACGCGCGTACTGGATTCCACTGCCAGTCACTATCCATCTTTACTTACAATATTATGAATAGTTTGTTGGAAGAAATTTTTTTTGATTTATTTCTCAAATTATTATACTGAAATACCAATAGAAATGTCTTTTGCTGAATTATATAACCTACATTAGTTGTCTCTTAACGATACGGTAAACAAATAAATGTTTCAAAATTGTTAAAATTCTGTAAACGATAGCCAAGTGTAAGGATGGCTCGTTGGCAAACTCAAGGAAGCTTCAAGAAGCATAGAAAGAGCCGAATACATTCCATTCAACCGCCGCTAGAAGAATTTTCTAGAATGTCGATGTGTAGCTCACTTTTGAACGAATAAGAAGACCCTCCTATGTGCCTATTGGCTAACCGAAATGATGATATATTTTCAATCAAAAAACTATAAATACATAAGATTTTTGTACTATATTTGACACTGTTTTGGGAATAACATTCCTACTTAATAGTGTTCTCTCTTCTTATTTTGCGACTTAAGAGGGTTCTAGTGCTCGAGTGCTCAAGTATTACGCGACATAATAAGAATCTAAGTTCGAGATATAACACCAAGAAACTATTCATTGTAAAGTGATTAGAGGTGAAGAAATGACAAAAAGAAAAGAGGAAGTATAGTAATTATTGTGATTGTGTATGAATAAACATAATATAAATTCAATTCATAATAATGCTTATCTCCTTTTATACAGTACTCATATTAATAATAATAATGAAGACTGTTTAGATTTCATGTTATTTATAGTTCTCCAAAAAGCAGTTTATAAGCAAAATATTATAGTTTAATTGAGTGTTGCTAATGGTTTTACTATGAAAGGACTCATTCAAAAGAAAGTAGTTGTCAATTTATCATCACTATTATAATTTGATCATTTCATTATTCGTTTACTGATTTTTCATCTTAGTTTTTCTAAATTAGTAATGTTATACACTTGGGAAATAACCTTGTGTTCATTGTTTTTTTTCCTCATTTATATATTTTTCCATACATTCATGGATACTTGAAACCTTCCATTAGTTATGGAATAATATACATATTTTTCTAATTTCTTTGTTCTAGGTGGTTTATTTCTCATTGCCTTCTACACCTTCTAAAGTGCTATTATCATTATTATTACATTATTCAGTAGTAACCACAAACTAGTAATTTGATTAAGATATTAAACAAGTGACTAGACTATAGGATATCATAAGGAATTTCCATCAGTAAGCTTCAGCTATTGCTATTTACATATATCTTATTTTTAAGAGGCGTTTACCAATAGGATTATAAGCATAGATTCATGGTGGCGCTCCACTTCTTCACAACTGAGACTCCTCAGTTGGATGCATCTTCACCAAATAGGATTTAAATGATGCAAGAACT